CATCAAGGTGAGGTTCAACATCACGCTCAAGAGCGCCTTCAATCTTGGGGCGGAGAGCGATGGCAAGCCCTACTCGATTGCCTGGAAGCGTGGCTCCAAGAGCAAGAATCGCGGGCAAACGAAGAAGACCGAGGCCAAGGGCGGCATTGTCACCTTCGGCGAGACCTTCACCCTCGTGGCCACCATGCTTCAGGATGAGAAATCAAAGAAATTCGACACCAAGAAGCTCGAACTCACCGTCAAGGAGGTAAACAGCGCCCCCACCGCCCACCCAATAGTGTCTCCCTCCTAACAAGCCGAGTGCTCCCGTGACCGACACCTGTGTCGTGTTGTGCGGGGTGTGTGCCTGTGCAGGATGACAAGAAGCCGAGGGACGTGGGCAAGCTGACGGTCGAGCTGGGCGACTACGCGAGCGCGGGAAAGCACGGCCCCTTCACGCTGGCACTCGATGGTGACAAGAAGGCGTCGAAGAAGTCCTCCAAGGACTCCTCGCGTGGTTCGCCTTCCGTCAAGGTACTCACTCACGCGCTCTCTCACTGTGTGTGTGTGTGTGTGTGCGCGCGCGCGCTACGCGGTGGTGCGTATGCGTGTGCGTGTCGGTGTAGTGTCTAACGCCGGTGCGTGTGCAAAACTAGTTTGATGTCGAGTCGGAGTGGACGCACTTCAACAAGAAGAAGATCACGGATAAGAAGAAGGAGGGCAAGGAGGGAGTCGAGATTGACGGCGTGGAGTACGGTCTCGAGACCGACAACTCGGACATGTCCGAAGACGATGCCACCACTCTCGGCGACATGTCTGAGTCTGAGTCCGAAATCGAGGTACCTACGACAGTAGTAGCAGACGCACGAGAGTTGATATTTGCATCTCAACCAATCATTATTCAATGCTTGCCTTCAGTCGGAGGAAGAAGAGGACAGCGACGCCGACGAAGGCATGAAGGAGATGTCGGCGCCCGTCAAACGTAATGACGATCTCAAGGTACTCACCACCACCCCCTCCCTTACAGTCTGTAGCGTTCCCGACCATGCAAACTGCGCGTTGCCGTGTGTGCTGTGTGTGTGTGTGTGTGTGTGTGTGTGTGTCATAGGCCTCATCGTCGTCGGGGTCGGTCCCGTCCAAAAAGGCGTTGAAGGAAGAGAAGGCGAAGGACAAGCAGATC